ATGCGAACACCCCCACTGGGGCCTTCGGTGGAGCTCCCTATGGGGCCACGAAACGCTGCCCTGGGTGGGGGAACCGCATGCGAACACCCCCACTGGGGCCTTCGGTGGAGCTCCCTATGGGGCTACGAAACGCTGCCCTGGGTGGGGGAACCGCATGCGAACACCCCCACTGGGGCCTTCGGTGGAGCTCCCTATGGGGCCACGAAACGCTGCCCTGGGTGGGGGAACCGCATGCGAACACCCCCACTGGGGCCTTCGGTGGAGCTCCCTATGGGGCCACGAAACGCTGCCCTGGGTGGGGGAACCGCATGCGAACACCCCCACTGGGGCCTTCGGTGGAGCTCCCTATGGGGCTACGAAACGCTGCCCTGGGTGGGGGAACCGCATGCGAACACCCCCACTGGGGCCTTCGGTGGAGCTCCCTATGGGGCTACGAAACGCTGCCCTGGGTGGGGGAACCGCATGCGAACACCCCCACTGGGGCCTTCGGTGGAGCTCCCTATGGGGCCACGAAACGCTGCCCTGGGTGGGGGAACCGCATGCGAACACCCCCACTGGGGCCTTCGGTGGAGCTCCCTATGGGGCCACGAAACGCTGCCCTGGGTGGGGGAACCGCATGCGAACACCCCCACTGGGGCCTTCGGTGGAGCTCCCTATGGGGCCACGAAACGCTGCCCTGGGTGGGGGAACCGCATGCGAACACCCCCACTGGGGCCTTCGGTGGAGCTCCCTATGGGGCTACGAAACGCTGCCCTGGGTGGGGGAACCGCATGCGAACACCCCCACTGGGGCCTTCGGTGGAGCTCCCTATGGGGCCACGAAACGCTGCCCTGGGTGGGGGAACCGCATGCGAACACCCCCACTGGGGCCTTCGGTGGAGCTCCCTATGGGGCTACGAAACGCTGCCCTGGGTGGGGGAACCGCATGCGAACACCCCCACTGGGGCCTTCGGTGGAGCTCCCTATGGGGCCACGAAACGCTGCCCTGGGTGGGGGAACCGCATGCGAACACCCCCACTGGGGCCTTCGGTGGAGCTCCCTATGGGGCCACGAAACGCTGCCCTGGGTGGGGGAACCGCATGCGAACACCCCCACTGGGGCCTTCGGTGGAGCTCCCTATGGGGCTACGAAACGCTGCCCTGGGTGGGGGAACCGCATGCGAACACCTGGAGGGCGGGGGCGAGGAGGAGGAGAAACGCGGGGACCGTCTCTTCAAAACGAGGACCCAACAACACAGGTTGGTTGGGAAAAACAAAAATAGACGTCCGAGCGATGGCGAGGAGCAGGAAAAGCCTTTGGAGCCCGGAACCTTCCGGGTGGCAGGCGGGACGGGCCGAAGCCCCCCGGGGGAGTTCTTCTGGAGAAGAACCAAAACCAGAAGCATCAGGGTTTAGCACGCTAGGCACCCCTGTGGCAAGACCACAGGGGACGGCGGATATAGGCTTGCTGCCCATGCCGCCACCGTGCCTGGGCAGTCGGTCAGAATCCTCATGGATGTTTCTTAAGATGTCTTCGGAGGGCTGTCGGCAGCCTTTGGAGGCAGTTTGGGCTTGGGAGCCTCTTGGGAGCGTCTTGGGGCTCCCTGGGGGCCTCTTGTGGGCCTCTTTGGGCCTCGTGGGAGCATCTTGGGGCGGTGAGCTTGAAATGCCAGTTCCTGTTAGCCCTCTGGGGCCCCTCTTGGGGCGTTGTTGGGGCCGTCTTGGGCCGAGTTGGAGACCTCTTGGGCCGTTTTGGAGCCTTTTGGGCCTTCTGGCGCCTTGGGCCGTCTGGAGGCCATCTTGGGCGTCCTCGAGAAATATTTGGGCCCTCTTGGGCCCCTCGGTGAGCATCTTGGACCTGATCTGCCGAAGGAGGGCCAAACTTGACCCCGAAGGCGGTCCGAAGAGGGAAGGGGGGGAGCCGTATTCTGACCCAGGACCCAGCCCCAGGACCACAACCACACCGGACCGATTGTAAACCATTTCGGTCTGATTGCAACCATTGGTTGCGATCCGACCGAAGTGGTTTACGATCAGTCCGATGTGGTTGCGATCGGTCGTGCTCGCCCAGGACCCCCCCCCCCTCCTCGACACCCCAGACCCCCCTCGCCCAGGACCCCCCACCCTCCGCGGGGGGGAAGGGATCAAAGGGAAGGGACTCCCCTTCGATTCAACTACGATTTCGATCACGGCCTGGCTCGATTCACTTCGGGTTGACGAGCTTGGCGCGCCAAGCAGGGTGATGAGCGTGGCGCGCCCAAGAGAACGCCAAAGGATGTTCCGAAGACGACAAAATCAGAACTCCTCATCACACACGCCGACAGGGTTGGCGGATTTGTTTTTCAGAAGAAACGGGAGGCCGATTCCATACACTCGCGTGTCACTCAGCATCTACATCCCAAACCCTCGATACCAGCCCTCTTCGTCTTTGATTGTGCCCCCTTTGGGGGATACATCTTCCTTGCCACGTGTAATCGCCGCAGCCCATAAGAGAGGAAGAACAGCGAGGATGGAGAAAGGGAGCGAGCGAGGAGGGAGGGAGTGGAGGAGGAGAGGGAAGCGGCAAGGGGGCAAGAGGGAGAGAGGGACAAAATGGAGGACGAGAGGGGTCAGCAAGAAGGATAGGGGCTTGTAAGGAAGTTCGGGAGAGAGCGCTGCTCCGAATAGATTTCGAGGAAGTCCCAAGCGATAGCGCGATTCCACAGCGTCGAGGGAGCGATTCGAGAATAAGCTGTGAGGAAGCATCAAGCGAGAGAGCGATTCATGGATAAATCGTAAAGGAGTCTCGAGCAAAAGCCCGATGTCTGAATAAAGTGTGAGGAAGTGTCAGGCGTCAGCCGTTGTTGATGTAAACCAGGGGTTAACAGCACAATCTGACGTGCAAGGCTTTCCCTTGTAACAAAAAACCGTGTGCGAGCTCCAGGAGGGGCACTTCAATTACAAAAATTGTGGGCACCGGAGGGGGATCAACGATAATCTACAGAAATCAACGATCAACAACAACATTCATTCTACCCGAATGCTAGATGACCCGGCATACAACTTGCATTCATCATGGCAGTTCCCCCCCCTGCATGGGGGAATTATTTCATGCATAGGGGGCCGGATATCCCCTTACCCCGATCTCCCGACCGCCAATGCTCTGTCAACACCTCTCACGAGGCATTTGACCGTCGTCAGTCCAGATTTTCGGTGCTGCTGTTGTTGTTGTCGGGGGGCCCTGCTGGGCGCAACCCCGACACGCTTGAGCGAGAACTTCAATTTCAAAGGAAATGCCGCCAGCGCCGAGGCGAGAACGTCAGATCGCTTTGAGGGGGTCAAAATTTTATAACTGATCGTATTTCGTTTACACCACAATCATTCGCAATATGTACTATGAGTAAGAGCTGTTCGCTCTCATCTGCTCGCCAAACAACATGTATGTCCCAGACCCTCGACCTTGGCGGTTATTTTCTTTGCCTGCCGCGTGTAGTTCGCGGAGGCCCTACAGTAGGAAGATGAGGGAACAGGAAAAAAGAACGAGCGAGGAGGAAAGCTGTGCGGGAAGGGCAGGAGGAGGGAAGGGGCAAGGGGGGGAGAAGGATGGAGCACGAGAGAGATTAGCAGGAGAGGGGCTTGGAGGAGGAAAGCAAGCGGCAGAACCAGTCGGGCGCGTCGGGCAGGTGGGCCCTAACGGGCGGGTCGGGCGAGCGGACTCAGACGGGCGGATCGGGCGGGCGGGTCGCGGAAGTGTGAGTCTTGCATGAAGCGCGAGGAAGTCTCGAACGACAGCGCGATTCCCGAGTAAATCGTGAAGAAGTCCAGCACAAGAGCGCAAGTCCTGAGTGTCGAGGGCGCGGCATTTGAATAGATTGTAAGGAAGGTGCAGGCGAGAGCGCGATGTGTTGTAATTTGCAAAGGGATCTCGGGCGGGAGCGCGATTCTTCAAGAAATGATTAGTAAGTAGAATGCGGGAGCCGTTGTTGTTATTCTAGTTCTGGGGTTAATATTGCAGTTTGGATGCCCGAGAGCTCCCCTGGTAACCAAAAACAGGCGCGAGCCCCAGGACGGTCGCATTCAATTGAAGGCACGTTTGTTACCGAGGGGAGATCAATCATCATCATTTTCGGGAAAGAGAATGTAGCAACAACACAGCAACCAAGCGCGAGGGCCCCAAGAGGCCCCAGACACCCACCAGACGCCCGAAGACGACACAGAAGACCCTGAAGAGGCGTTCGAAACGCACGATGCAATATTCCCAATGATGGTTGCAGGAGTTTGGGAATGCTCTGTTCTTCAGTCTGCTGGGCGTTCGACAATCACCCCACGACTACCCAAAAGGGCTTCCAGGTATGTTAAGAGAGCCCCAAGACGGCCCATCAGGCCCAAGATGACCCCAAGACGCACCCCGAATCATTCCAAAGCGTGAGTTCGCGGTTCAGGGAGACCGCCTCCAGGAGGCCCCAAGAAGTCCCCAGGCATTTGCGAGAGGCCGCCAGGGGGCTCTCCAGGGGCGAGCCTCCGGAAAAAGTGTTGAGGAGGATGGGGAAGAATTGACAAGGTAGGACGATGCTGAGGATGACGACGAGGAAACACTTGAGAAGGAAAATGGATAGCATTGGCATAACGACGATGTCGTAGAAGGCAAGAAGAAGTGATCATTAATTGTTCTATGCTACGTTCCTGCCTTGCCGCGTGCATGCCAAGGTGCATGGCGCGAAGCGCCAATGCAGTATCGTGTAAATATACAACTGTGTTTGTATATAGGTGATAGGTATATTTATGTATATATACACACATATACATATATATATATATATATACGTCGCCATGAGCTGTATCTAATAAAGCTGCATCAGCGGGGGGACAGAGAGCTGGAGATTGTTCGCCCCCGACTCGTTCGCATCCTCCCCTTCATCATGGATCAGATTGTTGCCCCGCATCTTGTTACTGATGCTCGTTCTCCTCCCTCCGTTTTCCCCCCTCTTGTTCTCCATTGCTCTATAGTATTTTGTGTTGTTTGCGAGTGGCAGCGGACGGGGAGGCTACCAGACACACGTTTGCGCAGGCACGGCTAGAAGGCGTTGGAGAAGCACCACCAACATGTGGTGGGGCAAAGTCCTGTCAATTTAGCAAGAGCGGGAGCGGGAGAGAAGCAGAGACAGTGGCAGGGGCTCAATGCAGAAATTGTTGCGCAGCAAGAGAGGGACAGAAAGAGTCGGATAGAGAGAGACCCAAGGGAGAGACCAACGGGCAGAGAAAAAGAGAGAGGAAGAGAGACAGAGAGAGAGAGAGAGCAACGAGAGATATAGAGCAGGACAGAGACAGAAAGAGAGAGAGAGAGAGAGAGCGAAAGAGGGGGAAGAGAGAGAGAGAGGAGGGTAATCAGAAATTGAGAGACAGACAGACGGGAGGAGATGAAGAGAGACAGAGAGAGAGCTATGGGCAGGGAGGCAGGGAGCGAGTGATGGAGGGAGGGTAGAGGGTGTGGGAGGAAGAGAGTTGCGTCATACGTTACTTAGCCGACACGCATTGCTTGGAGGTCTAAGTTGTGATGTACTGATTTGCATGTGATCGCATGGACGGGTCACGGTTGGTCGTCATCTGCACGTCCCACACACAATGTCAATGTCGTGACGTATTTTAGCATCCAGAGGGGAGTTGACAGACGAGGGCAGGTGCGAATTCGTTCGAGGCACGCGCACGCCTGAGACGGCTCTTGTGAATGCGTCTATGTGTGGTGAATCGCGGTCTCCTGTCTCATTTTCTCTCTTCTCCAAGAGATGCATTGATATACATCTACATACATATAAATATATATATGTGTGTGTACAGATGGATACGCACACATACATCCAATGATATTGATTTTCTGACCGTCGCCTTACTGATGCGGGGTCCCGAGTGGGCCCTCTCCGGGGTGTCTTGGCGCCGTCTTGGGGGCCTCTTGGGCCGTCTTGGGGCCCCCTGGGGCCGTCTTGGTCCCTCGGGGCAATCTTGGGGGCATTTTGGCGGTCTGGGGACCCAGTCCCTCCAGTGGCCATCTTGGAGCGTCTCGAGGCAGTCTCGCACCACTCTTGAGCCGTCATGGGCTCGCCTCGGGGCCCTCTTGGGCGCTTGTTGGGCCATCCTGGAGCGATCTCGGGGGCCTCTTCGACCGCCTCGGCCGCTCTGGAGACCGAGAAGACGAGTATGCGAAAATGGCACCACAACTTTAAGAAAAACCTGTGATTATTACCTCCCGGGGGCCGCTTGAGAGCCGACGTCGGGCCCCCTAGGGCCATCTGGAGAGCCCGATGAGCCGTCGAGCAGCCGTATCGGGCCCATCTTGGGCCATCTTAGGCCCATCGTGGCCGTCTGGGGCCGCTCGTCGGGCCCTCCTGGGGCTCTCCAGGGCCATCTTTGGGTCATCTGGGGCCGTCTTGGGCCCTCCTGGGGCGCTTCGGAATCAGGCTCCCTAGACGGACCTGGAGTTGTGCCAGCTCAGTTTCCTATGCATATGGGTACGCAGTTGATTAGTTCAAGTATAGGTACACGTACCCATAGTTTATATAGTATGTGTGCGTGCATGTGTGTATGGATGGATGTATGTGTGTATGTATGGAATGCCATGTAATGTCATGTAATGTGATGTGATGGGATGTGATGTGATGTGATGTATGTATGTATGTATGTATGTGTAGTGGTCTTTGGCGCATCCCGCCACCCGGCCTGAGTTGCGTACCATAGGCCTCGAGGATGTTCGTTGGGATGTCGCGGGGGGGGCTCTCGGGGTCCTTGTGGGGCGTCTTGAGAGCCTCTTGGAGGTCTCTTGGGGCCTCGTTGGGGCCTCTTGGCGCCTCCTTGGGGCGGAAGGCTCGGCCTTTCTGTTCGTGTTCCCCCTCTTGGGCCCTTCTTGGGCGGGGCTTTCTTTGGGTCCTCTTGGGCCGTCCTGGGCGCCTTTGGGGCCGTCTTGCAGCCCTCTCGCGCTGTCTGGGAACCATTTTGGGGGCGTCCTGAGCGGCCTTTGGGGCCTCTCGGGCCGTCATGAAACGTTGGAAGCTCGAAAAGTCCAGGGGCCAAACAACAATCTAAAATCACAACAGAAAATATCACTTTGGCCTCTCGGGGCCCTCTTGGGGTGGCTCTTGGAGGCCTCTTGGGACGCCTCAGGCGCTTTTTCGGTCGACTGGAGACCATCTTGGGCATATTGGACCGATCGTGCGGCGATTCGGGGCCTTCTTGGACCATCTTGGGAAACACTATGTAGAGCGTACATGCCAACGTTTACTCTAAATAAAAAGTCGAAATGACTCTGTAGGCCCCGATTGGACTCGAATGGACTCCACTGGAATATCCATACGACTCCATGGGACCCCGTGGGCTACATAGGATCCCATTGGACTCCACTGACCTACCCGTAGGATTACATACAATTCCGTCGGGCTCCATTTGTCTTTGCAGGTCTCAATGTGGATTTCATTCGAATACCCATAAGACTCCATTGGCCTGCATTGGACTCCACTGGAATACCCATCGCAACCAATGGACGTCCATGCACCCAGTTAGATCCATTCGACGCCATTACTCTATTGGGTCCAATTGTCCTCAATAGGATGTTGTTGGGCTCCATCGGACACTACTGCAATCCATATGACCCATAGAATCCTATAGGACTCCATTGGGCCACATCCGAATACCCAGAGGACTCCGTTTGAATACACCTATGACCGTTGGATTCCGTCATGGGTCTCCGTTGGTTCCCTGGTGGATGTCATAGGATACCATAGGTCTCCGTAGGACTCAACCTGACTCCCCATACGACTCCGTTGTATTCAAGTGCAAGAACTCCTCAGACAAACCGTTGTGGAGAACACAAATACCGCGTATTACATCGAAACGCGTACTAGCACAGGAATGCGTATTCAGACGTAGGTAGGCGCAGGAATACGGAGGAGTACATGCGAAAATTTAGGAATCTACATGTACATGTGTATATATCTAAGAATACAAAGGCATTCCCCAGGGACCTATTTCAATATTAAAGGTCGTACAACGGCAAAGCCCAGGGGCCTCGTACCAGTTCTCAGGAGTCCAATAGCACTTGTTAGGCAAACGCGTTTCGAACACATCAGGCTTTCATCGCCGAGGATCATCCAGATGGATTAACTGGTGACCACGATGCGCATAACATCACTATGCAACATCAGGAAGTCACAACTGTTGTGTCCGGCGAAAGAGCGGGACGTGCATACGTACATATGCACAGATGTGTGTGGACAGGTACGGATACACATATACGCATGCAATGCGAATGCAACATCAAAGAAAGCAGGATGACGAGAGGATGAGGAATGGAAGGATGCTCCGCCTTCGCCCCAGCCCGTCGTCGCTGGCGCACAGCGTAAAGACTGATACGGGAATGTGCGATAGCATCCCTAGGGCGAGAGGCTGCAGAGCTGCGCAGAATTCTTGCGCCGCCAAGGAAAGTGATGACGACGCTGCTCCTTGTGCTTCTACTCGTTTTCGTGTTCTGTGCAGCCTGCAGCGTATGTTCCTCTAGCACTCACCATGCCTTACAGACAACCCGCACAGTATGGATGAGCGACGTTCCAAAGTTACCCGTGCATCCTTCCTCTTCGGCCCACCTTTGGCCGCTTTCGCTGGCTGCGCCCCGCTCGCAGAGTGTCGGCATGGCGTTCCCAGGCCCTTGCATCCTTATCCTGCGTCCTTATCATACAGGTTGACTGCACCCTCCATCTCGGGCCGGGCGAAAGGGGGGGATTGGGAAAGGGGGGGTTACGAAATTTGCTGCATGCAGCTGGTTTCGGCCTCACCGAGGGGCCCATTCCTCCATACATAGCCGCCTCCGGCGCCGGGAGGCGCCGGGAAAATCAGCTACGTGAGCTGATTCTCAAACCCCCCCTTTGCTATCCCCCCTTTTCGCCCGACCCGACCATCTCAGAATCGCCTTCGTTCCGCTCGTCCCGCGGCTGGTGCAAAAGTGCTCCTGCCGCTGCCGCTCGCCGCCTTACCGGTTGCCGCCGCGGCCTCCCCTCGTGGCCTCCCGGACCCGTCTGGTGGCCTTCGGACTCGGGCGCCTCTCCACGCATGGGCGAGAAGTGGGGGCCTGGCATCGCTCGGACGTGTGCGTTTGTTTCCTCGGCGAGGGCCATCGAGGAGCATCCTCGACCAAAGGGCAAAAAAAAAACACGCACGAAACCGAAAAAAACACAAAAAGTGGACGTCCGAGCGATGGCGAGGGGGTGATCGAGGCGTGCAGGAAACGGGGCCAGGAGGGGTCCCCACGGCTCCCCGAAGGCGCACGACGTGCGCGCCTCTCTCCACCCCCGCGCGGACGGCCACCCCGGCTGGGGGCCCCGGATGCCATCCTGGCGCGGCGAGGGACCGCGGGGCCCGTTCGGGCTGCCTCCTCCCGGACCGAAGCCAGGCGGAGACCATTGGGCGCCGCGTAATGGAGGGGTCATAAATGAGGGGGTGGCGAGGGTGGTTCGAAAAGGTACCCAAACGGTACCTAAACGAGCCCCCTGGTGCCCTGGAGGGGCACGAAAGGGGACCGTTTCTGACCCCCGTTGATGGCCCCCCCATGAAGCCCCGCCCGAGACCAAGGGTGTTCAATAGTTCGTGACGTCGGGGAGAAACGCGCGGGAAGTCCCGGGAGCGCCAGGAACGGTCCCGGGCCCCCCAAGAGAGATCATGGGGAATCGTCGGCACGGAGAGCCCGGAGGGAATTGAGGACACTGCACGGCAAGGTCGCGGATTTGTGAGCACTGTTCGCGCATTTCGTCCCCGATAGACATCCCGAAATAGCGCCCCGATGGGCACGCTTCCATACGATCGTTCCGCCCCTTTCGGCATACCACTCACACGTTTCGTGCCCCATCGGGGGGGGCCCAACTTCGGCCCCACTGGGCACGCGCGAATGCGCCTGCCTCGTCCACTCTTTCGGGAAATTCTCACCGCCCGACTGGGCCCTCCCCTCACAGACTTCGTGCCCAGTTGGGAGCCCATTTGCTTCCTTTCCCCCTCCTCTTGCTTCTTCTTTTGTTCATCGCCCTCCCCCTCATCCGCATCCCATAGCTATTCATATTATCAATGCTCTTGTTCGCATTCCCTTCTCATGTTCCTCTGAGGGAAAGAGGATGACCCGTAGTCCGCCAGCAGCTCCAGCAGCAGACGGGCGAGGTGGCATTTCTTTGCGATTGATTGCCTTTGTGCCTCTTCCTCCTGCCCCTTCTCTTCGTCAACCAACCTCCTCGTCCTCCTCAGTCTCCCCCCCCCTTCGAGCCCTCCCTCTCACCTCTTCCGCAGCCATCGGCTCGAGCAGTATTTGCCCGAGCCACACTTCAAGTTGTCTGTCCACTCAGCGAGTCTCTTCTCGTGAAATATCTCCACTTGGCTGACAGCCATGCATACCGGCGTGCGTCCTCTCGTGGTCGGTTCGGTGTTGTGCTTCTGTCCTGCGCTCTCGGCGCGCATCACGTCAGCGAGCCTCGACGTAGCAGATGAAAGTCAGCGCCAAGGAGTGTACGGCCATGCCGCAGGTCTTGAGGAGGAGCACGAGCACACTGAGGTTGCAAGGTGGCCAGTGACCTCGAAAGATAAGATCATTCTGGCAAAAATCGTGAAGATCCTCAACCCCCCTGGCGCAGACGTGCCTTGGGAGTGGAAGGACGAGCCACAGTCATGGACGTTTGGACTGGCCAAGCCTACTGCCCAGGACGCAAAAGGTGCGTTGGCGCTTCACGTGCTGCACCGTCACGGCTTGGGGCCTCTCTTGGCTTCTCGCGCAGGCCTTTCTTTCATAGAAGAATTCGAGGGGAAACCCGAAAGAAAGAAAGGACCCGAGGGGAGGAATTCGAGGGGAAACCGGAATTCGAGGGGAGCCCTCGAATTCGGGTTTCCCCTCGAATTCTTTCATTCTCGCGCAGGCCTTTCTTTCATAGAAGAATCCGCGCAGGCCTTTCTTTCATCGGCCCAGGGGAACCCGACCGGAGCCGATAGAGCAAAGGCTCTTGTGGAAGCACAGGAGGAGCACGGGGCGATCAGCGAGTTGAGGGAGCTGATGCTGGGATTGACCCTCAATGGGATCCGGAACTTACATTCTTGGGACCATGCCTGGTCGGTCCGGAAAGGCTCTGGCAAGGTCGAGGGGTGCGCGCGCAGCAGTCCCGGTGGGTGTGTGCTCCAGGCTGGCATGTCGCGGTCTGCCAATCTGTTACTACGACAGAATGGCTTCAGCGAAGACGTCTGCTCTTCGGTGAAGTCCTCGCAATTTGCACTCCTGGCGTGGATTTTCAATCCTTTCGGCTACACGGAATTGAGGCCTAGCGATCGGAATAATCTTTTGACACCGGCCCACGCTGGTGACATTGAGGTGACCCATTGGAGCACGGCAGGCAGCTCCAATCCGTTCTACGCGATTTTCAAGGGAAGTAAGAAGATCGTGGTGGATGTTCACTGGGAGGGCGGCGCCGTAAGCGAGTTGAGGGTTCCAGTCGGTGCAGACACCATTGCGGCTCTGCGCTCGACCGTTTCGGAGAGGGAGCAGCTAGCCTGGGTCACAAATATGACCGAAGCGTTTATCAGTGAGACCGTCGCTTCCCACAAAGAGTACATGGCCACCGAGCGATTGACCATCTGGGCAGGGGAGCAGGCAGAATTTGTGGAGATGTATGACAGTTTGCCTGAGTCCATGCAATGAATGGGCCAGCGGTGGAAAAGTCCTCGGCGGCTGCCTTGACATGGCCAGAAAAGGCCATCAATATATCACCCAGCGATCTTCTCAACCCTGAAATTGACTTGATATTTACAGGGTCCAGTTCTTCCCCATGCGTTGGTGTTGGCGTAAGTGGCGGCGTCTGCGCCGACCGTGATGTCGGCGGCGATGGCGATGGCATCGGTGGCAATATAAGCGGCAGCGTTGACGATGTCAAAGTTGGTGTGGATCGTACCAGCATGGATGCCACAGTAAATGCCGACAATCATTTCGGGAATGGCGGCGTTGGCGTAGGCGTCGGCGTCACTGTCGATGCTGATTGTTCGGTGGGTTGCATTCCAGTGTAATAGACGATCTCGTGGTGTTGCTCGTCGTGTCGTCGTTGCATCTCATCATTTCTGCGCGTCGTCGTTTTAGATTCCGGCGTGTTGCCCTTAGTCGCGCTCCTGCCCTCCGTCGCGTTGTGTATCGTCGTGCGATTCGGAACGGGGTGTTCGACAGGGGCGGGAGCCAGAGTCGAAGCAGGATCGGGAACGACTCGGAACCGGGATCGACAAGGCTTGATTTAAGTCGGGCACGTCCCTCTTCAGGAGGAATATTTAAGAATAGTGAAAAAGTAGTCTGGGGAAGATGTGTTTTACTATTCTTGACCATTTCGGGGAATCTGTGGACTATTTTCTATGTTTCATCCAAAATCCCCTTATGGGAGGACATGCCCGACCTAAGGATTGATGCCGAAGCCAGGTGGGCGGCGGGGTCAGAAGTTGGAGTCGGAAGTAGAAACGCGGTGGAGTCAGAAGCCAGAAATTTGAACGATGACGGGAGTCGGGAGCCTAGAGACGGGGGTCAATTTAAACGGAGGTCAGCCAGAGCGCCCGATCTTGCAGGATCTTGCAAGGGCAGGGTCGCATTGACCCGGGCCTGGGTGCAGGACCCGGCAGGATCTTTCGCATCGCGCGTCTGAGTGCAGGATCCTGCAGGATCTTGCAAGGCCTGATCGACCCGGGTCTGGACTGACCCGGGTCAGAAGATCCCCGAGGAAGCACAGCTCAGGAGGGGGAAAAACACACACAGACACAATGAATCGTCCATATCCAGGAAGATATGGGAAAAGATGGGAAGTGGGGGGGAAGACGAAAACCCAGAAAATGTGGGAAAATATGGGGAATCCTTTTCTTTGTATTATGTATGTATTTGTGTGCCCTGGGGCCCCTTCAACAGCAGAAGCCAAGATCGGAGACGGAAGAGCGGGCAGGGCGGGGGTTGTTACCAACAGTGCCTGGGGAACACAAGGAGACAGAGGCCGGCCACGTCGGATCTCTTCAAGGTCGGTGGGGCCGACAGTGTCAGGAGGGAAAAAAACACACAGACACAATTAATCGGCGATTCCCCAGAAAATATGGGAAAATATGGGAAGTGGGGGGGAAGACAGAAACCCAGAAAATATGAGAAAATATGGGGAACAGTATTTATTTGTGTGCGCCACTGGTCGATGTAGAGCAGTCCACGGCAGGCCCCGCCATCGGGGGAGAAGGCCGAATTCAGTATCTCGTCGAACCTGTGGTGGACGGAACGGGCAACACTCTTGAGTAGAAATTGCATGTAAGAACGAGGGCAACTTCATGAACGCAACATCTAGATTGTAGCTGCCTCAGATTGATGCTTGAACGAATATTGAAGTTCATCCCCACCCGGCGTTTTCTTTTCGGGCTCGAGGCTTTTTATTGTTGGCCCCATTGCCTACTAATGCGCGCACAAAAAGGTAAAAGCCAACACACAGCATTACTTAACATCAAGAGAGAGAGAGAGAGAAAGGACTCGAGAACTCGAATGATGCATTGGACGATGCGCAACATGGCACCACTGACCTGATATGATGGTTTCTTGTAGTTGGGTATTTTTGCGGACCGTCCGAACGGTACCTCACCCATTGCTGGAGGCGGAACAAGAATTGGAAGAACCATGAGACGTGTGGAAGTTAGTTTGCATAGGTTTTACGCATGGCATGGGGGAGGGGGACGTTTATAATGACGATGTGATATCATATGTGGTTCTCGCCAGTCGCGCTGGACATTAAAGGAAAGGCGTTGCAGTATAAACGAACGAACGCCGTCGCCGCTATTGCCGTCGGCTTTGGCAATGTCCTACCCACGTTGCTGCCGTTGCGTTCGACGGTTGGTGGGTCATTAGTTGGTGACCGGCGATGCCTCTCAAACATTGAGCGTTTTGGAAAAATTGTTCTGAACGGTTCCGGAATCGTACTCAGTAGGGAAATTTGGTGTCCTCGGCCATGGAAATATCGAATATGTCATGGAGCCCCGTGGATGTAGCTATGGAAAAATGGAACCCACGGTCCCGCGCAAGGTTTACAAAATGGTTCGGCTTATTACGGCATCCCCATTCGACCTGCATTTGCACCTTCTTGCTCTCTTTGCACAGTCATCTTTTCCGAACGAACTAACGATCGGCCGAAAGATAACCGCTGCGGACATGATCCTGGCTTCTGGGGAACGGAACCGTGCCCTTCGGAAAAACTCAATTATTCGAATTCGAAAAACGTTTCTACCAGGACGGTTCACTCCTAAAAATTGCTGTACCCGAAAGCCCGAGATTCGGCTTGGAATGGCCTCTTCTGTTCTTTCTCTCTTCCTCCTCCCTTTCTGTTTCCTCCTCCTTCTCTTGCTCTTTCTTCCCTTTTCCTTCCACCTCGTCCCTTCTCTTCCCTTCCTCATCCTCCTGCTTTGTTTTCTCTCCTCCTCCTCCTCTCGGCCTCCTCCTCCTTTTCCTCCTTTTCCCTGCTCCCCCCACCTCCTTCCTGTCCCTCCTCCCTTTCCCTGCTTTTCTTCCATCCCTCCTTTTCCTGACCCTCTCCAGGTTTCCAGGAGCTGTGGGAAGCGAATCATGTAAATATGTGTGTTCAAAGGGTTTTTGAAGGGGGACCGGAATTGGAGGAAACCAGAGCAGGGGGAAATCTACAAATCAGGTTTTCAATAATGGAAAACCGGGTTCATGGAAGCCTGGGCGAATAATTACGGAAAAAGATTAGCCAGCAGTTGTGCACTCCCGGGCTCACTTATGGCACGTTTTTTTTGTTTTCGTTCTCACGTCCCTTCCGCGCGCCCTCAGCGGACCCCAACCTTCGACCAGCAAGCCGGTGAAACAGCGCAGGATGCAAACGGCATCCAGGGTGAAATAGCGAAGCCCTGAGCAGAGCTAAAGGAGGAGGAGGAGGAGGAGGCGGAGGCGGAGGAGGAGGAGGAGGAGGAGGGGAGGGGGAGTTTCAGACGAGCGCCGTCACCGGACTTGCAAATCGTCCAAGGGGCACGGGGGTTCCCCTAAGCAAGTCGATAGATCGGAATATTTATTGAAAATTTGATCCGAAACGGCCTTCTGCACAGTCAGACCTCGAAAAACCCACCATCATTGTAATAGTGCGAGAGCAGTGCTTATACGGATGCGCGCGTGGAGCCCCCGGGTGCGCTCACGAGCGAAATTCGAGAGGAGATTGGTGCATTGTTTGCCCCATTTGCCATACCTAAGCATTGTAAGGATCCCAACCCAGAAGACATGTGTCGTCGATGTTTTTCCGCATCGTCCAAGAAATTGCTTCCGGGTTCGTTGTTACGGAACCGGGGTCCGCAAGTGTCAAAATATGACACTATTTTTTTCCGGCGGTCTCCCATTTGATGGTCGTTGTTTTAGGATTTGTGGTGCGTAATCTGCGATTCAATGTTGGGCTCGTGGTTTGGTGCGTGAGCTTTGTAATTCGGTATGTGCGGTTTGTGATTCGGCATGTTCGGTTTGTGATTCGTCGCGTGCAAATTGAGATTCAGTGCGTGCAGTTTGTGATTCCTTCTTCGGTTTGTGATTTGGTGCGCGCGGTCTGTGATTCGCCGCGCACGGTTTATGATTCAATGTTTGGTCTTTGATCTTGAATTTGCCGCCCTATCCCGGTTCCCGTTCCCATCATTCCAGCCGCTTTTGTACAAGAAAACGCTCATGGGTGTGAAGGAGAACGGCCAATTGAGCCTTTATCTTAATAAGGGCGGAATATGATTGCCGGCAATCGTTATCCGTACCATTCATCCGGGGCTATCTTCGACAACAGACAATTAGCTCACTTTGAACATGTCAATTTTGCAATCATTCGGATTATTCCCAGAAAACCATCAATTGTAGGGCCTGCTCGACTTCCAACGCGAGTTCCGGAACTTGCGACTCTAAGTTCAGCGTTGGCACCCGTAAAGATGAAGGAGCAAATTTACTTGACATGAATGCGATGACCGATTAAGTAATGATGAATATGATGACGAACCGGCTTGTTTTCCCATATCTTCCCGACGCTCCGGACAACAATGAACCAGTTTTTGACGTTTCATGCATCCCAGCCCACGACGTGACTCTGATGCCGATTTGTAACGCCCTCTTTACCATTTTCGCGTTTTCGCTGTGAGCCGGACACCATTTGTTTTCTTGTTTTCTTTTGTGTTTTCGGCCTTGTTTGCATTATTTTGAACGGCGTTCGATTCGCTTTTGCGCGCCCGCGTATTAAAAGCCCCCCAGCCCATCCAGAAACGATGCCCATAGTCAAACAGCGAAGGAGGTTTGGGAAGCCGCGTGGCTATCTCAAGCCGTTTTGGGGAAATCTCGGGGCCGTTTAGAACATTTTGGAAGATATTTTGGGCCTGCTTAGCTACTTGAGCCATTTTGGAGATGCTTTTGGTCTTGTTGAGGCCGTTCCTCTCGAGCCTTTTTCGCGTACGACTTGGAACCTTCTTGGGATGCTCTTGGAAATTTCTTGGGCTTTTTGACAAACGTGGACCGCCTTTACTCAAAGGATTTTTGTCCCTCTTCCTGCGATATTAGCACCCCCAGGTATCCTCTCAAAAAAAAACCTCACACGTGGGTCCCGTGCCAAAAAAAATGAGGAGGGGAGGGGAACGGATGGAGGGGTCAAGCAGACAGAAAATTGTTACAGCATTTGT